CTCTTAACAAGAATTAAAACGTTTTAATATACGTTCAACTCTGATTAAAAGTTTGATAGGATTAATTTAAGATGCACAGATGAAAAAAAAACTGCATGCAAAATGTTTTCAGAAGTAAGTATGACTTTCATCGGTATCTGACAATAAAATTTATTTAATTTCTTCTTATGCTTTGCTAATAAATTATGTTGTAATGATTAAAGGAATTTTGTTTTGGGGCTTTCCCAAAGTTTCAAATCTAACTGAACAAAGAAGACCTATTAAATTTTGTTTCCGCAATGGAATTTAAGGAATAAAAATGCTTTGTTGTTGTTATCAATCTCACTTGTTTGACATAGGTCAGCACAGCCCACCAGCGGCCGAGCGGTAAAGTCGCTGAACACTGGTAGTTCGGTCCGAGGTTCCGAATCCCGCGAACGGGCTGACTGCATGGGCGTTTTCGTGGTTTTCCCCATGTGTAACGGTATACGAGTCAGTTTCCCTTAGAAAGTCCTCCACGAAGGCATCCCTCCTCTTAGGCAGATAGCCCTCGAGGCTTTGCCATAATCACACACACACATAGGTCAGCACAAGCCCATGATATTTATTATCACAAGGGGTGAAATGTGCTTGTCGTTGGCAAAAGCCCATCTGCACTATATACGTAACAGCCCAACTTTAGTTTTAGATCAAAAATTTTTCATTAACAAAACCACGAATCTTCCTTCAAATTTTATTATGTCTGTTTTTTGCTTTAGTCATTTCATCTTGGTATTTTAAGGCTATTTTCTTAATTTATTTCTGAGTTAAAATAAGATTTTTTAAGTTTGCATCTGAATTTAATTCCTTTTTAAACCAGTATCATTACATAAGGAAACATCTGATGTGGATACAATATGACTTCCATGTATGGCCTAATAAATTATACACATTTTTTGCTGCATTTCATTTGAACTTTTTCCCTCGAATTTAATTAGGGATATATTTCTCATTCGGTTTATTCAGTTCTCACTTCGCAGCAAAGCAATGCATAAAAATCCAAAACATCTTCATTAAAAATTGTAAAATACAGAAAATCATAAACCATCAAATTCACTTAAAATAGTTAAAAAAGGAAAATTTTTATAATTAAAATTAGAGCTGCTACGCAAAAATAAGCAATTCGGCCAGCCAGAAGGCAGATTTTTTGGTGCACAAAACTGAAAGTTTATTTCTTAATTCAATATTCTCTACTGAGTTTCAAATGCAAACAAGTGACGGTTCGTTAGGCTTAGCTTGCCACTTTTAAATTGTTGATAATTCTACAACTATTGCATGCAGATTAACTAAAGGCATAAAACCTTAACCGGAACTTAAAAAAACGACATAATTTAATTACTTTTAAAGCAAAAGATACACAATTTACTAATATATAGGAAGCAAAATTTAGACAATTAAAATTTTTGTCTGAAATTAAGCTCACCGAACCAGGCAACAAGTAACAGAGCGGGAAGCATATAAGCATTCTGTACCGCGCCACGCACATAGGGGATAATCCCTCCTTATGATTGGATATAGCTTCTGATGACATCATTTCCTCTACGCTTAGGAATGCCTTGACTTTGCTTGGGCTCGAAGGCTCCATACTGTTTGTTTACATTTTTATAGCAGTGCAGTAAAAATTGTTATGTGCGTTGTATTTTTGTTGCTATGAGATTACGCTTCTTACAACACTGTAGTGTGGTGAATTTAACATAAAAAACTGTAGTGATTTTTTTTTCCCCTAGAGAGAAAAAGTATTATTTCTTCTTGTGCTATTTCCGTAAATGTGTATAAATATGAAGTGCAGAGATTTTTAAAAAATGTATCCTTAATTTATAACCCTTCATATTAAAGGTGTTGTGATTGTTAATTCATTATTTCGCATTCATTATATATCCATTCTCTGCTGATACAGCCTGCGAAAGCATGAGGCAAGTCAGTTTTCGGAAATAGCAAAAACGACATTGGGAGCTGACATAGTTCGCAATATTTATAATCAAGTTGAGAAAGTAAAATTTGTTTTTGAACTTAGACTAATACTGATTTGGAACAGAAAAATGGAGATACGTAGTTTAAATTGAATAATATTACTTTATGAATATTGCCCATATTTTAATGTGTAACATCTTTTGTACCTTTGCATAAAAATGGTGTTTGTCAGAGAAGGAAGTATCCTTTCTTATACACGTGAATTGAATTCAGAGACAGTATTGAATGCACTTTTTTTCTTTCATTTAAGGCAGCACAATATTGGAATGACATGGACAATAACAAGGAAATAATATAATATTTGTAAAGGAAATATTTTCTGCAATGTGAAAGAAACAGAAAACAACAATGTTGCAATAATAATAATATACTTACTAGCACACAATGCTTTTACAGTTGGATCGAGATCGTAATGTTTTGGATTTTGCACTAAATTCATACACTCAGCTATTTACACTCATGTCCATAAATTAAGGATAATTCGGAGTCACGCGGAAATCGAACTCTAAAATAAACATATCACCTGTAAAATCACTACGCACATCATCAAGAATCATATGCAAATTTCAGGAAGTACCCAGATGACACCGATGGTACGTCACAATGACGAGAGTGTAAGAGAGTGATATATAAGGAATACAGGCAAAGAAGTAAAATTGTTCGCAGGCACTTTATAAGCATTTCAGTGCAATAACTGAATAGTTATGACACAAAGGACGCAATTTGGATGATTTTTTACGTGGTAGAATTATCGGCCGTCTGGAATGTGGGCGTACCCAACTGGAAGTATCAGACGAACTTGGAATTGCCCAGAGTATCATCTCCAAGGCTTTGGCAACGATTCCAAGATGATGGTAATGTGAGTAGACGTTACAGCACAGGTTCGCCCCAGAGTTACAACGCCGAATGAGGACCGGTATTTGGCAGTTACTGCCAAAAGAAACAGGCGGGAGCACAGCCTCAGACCTGTCTCGTCAGCTCTCTCTCTTCAGCCACTGGTACGACAATTTCAAGGCAGACCGTGTACAGACGCTTAGGGCAGATTGGTCTATATGCTCGTAGAACTGTCAGATGCGTTCCACTTACTGCAACTCACTGTCGCCTGCGGTTAGATCCTGGAGTAGAGAGCATGCATTGTGGACACCGCAACAGTGGGCTTGCGTGTGATGTTTTCCGACGAGTCCAGGCTTTAGCTTGCAGTCTGATTCTCGCCGGACTTTCATATGGAGAGCTCCAGGTACCCGTTACCACCAAGAAAACATCATTGAACGACACCGTTACGGTGGTGCAGGAGTGCTCATTTGGGGTGGAATTATTCTGGGTTCCAGAACTGACCTGCATGTTCAAATTGGAACCATGACAAGCCAAATCTATCGGGACGTCATTCTGGAACAACATGTACGTTTGTTTCGGGGCGCCATGGGCGCACAATTTGTGTTTATGGATGACAACGCCCGTCCTCACCGTGCAAACATCGTAAGCGAATGCCTTCAATCGAAGGATATCACCCGTATGGACTGGCCAGCATTCTCACCGGACTTGAATCCAGTAGAGCACGCGTGGAACATGGTTGACCGACGAGTTGCATGCCGTCAACCTTCCTCCTACATGTCTACTGGAACTTCGGAGAGCATTGCGTTTTGAGTGGTGTAATATCCCCCAAGATCAGATGGATAATTTGATACTCAGCATGCCTAGGTGTTGCACGGACTGTATTGCATCGTCTGGGAGACATACAACGTATTAACAATCATACCAACCATGTAATATTGGTTTTTTGTAAATAGGTTTTTTTTTTTGTAATTTGCTCCAGGGAGAAAAAATCGTTAATTTTTTTAATAATATCAAACATATAGCATCTTTTTTGCTCTTTAACTTTTCTTTAATAAATAAGCTTTAAAAATAAGTCAAATTTGTTTTGTTTCTAACTTTTCCTTTGCCTGATTTTGCATTATCCTTAACTTATGGACATGAGTGTATATAACATAAGTGCTTAAGATTGATTCTGATAATAACAGCATCTTTGAAGGATTTTATAATTTTATTACTTCATGAAACAGGAAGCCATCTGTAGAACGCTGCAGCTAAATGTTTTCATACTTCCATGTCACGCATGCGCCATTCAACGAAAACAAAACCGTAAAAATCCCGCCTAAATGTCATTAGACCAAGAGAAAACAATGCCATATCAAAGTATATCCAGTCACAAGTCCGGAATTTTCCCTATGCGCCTGGCGCGGTACAAAATGCTTATATACGAGCAAGAACATATATATTTATATACGATTGCAACGAGAAAGGGAGGTGCATAACTACATATTATAGCAGTAACATATACAAAATTTTAACGTTCTATGGTTCCTCGTTCTTGAGTTATGCGAGTTACATATATACATACATAGATAGATACGTACAGACGACAAGAAAAAATATCTTCTGAATTCATTTTAAATCCATTTTGCAATCCTTTTTCAATGCTTTATTCTGTCCGTGGGTACAGATGGTCAGGCAAAAGCATCATTCAAATGGTTTCGAGAGGATGGATATTTTAGTTGAAATATGATACCCACAATTTTCCTCGATTACACCACTTCCTTTACTTTCATTTTTCAGTCCAATGTTTAGAAGTCACATTTTAACACGCAGTTATGCTTTCACGTTATCTAACTAGATGGCGCCAGTGGTTGCGTTTTTTCATTTTTCTTATACTTATGGGAATGCATGTTTGCATTTCATTATTTTCACTCTTGCAGCTGAAAAGGAAGTTTCTGTTTAACCTTTGAAACTACTGATCTGCAAATTTACGTGCTTTACGCTTATTCTTCTGCATGCTTGTGGGATTAATATTGTTCTTTGGTGTTTCTATTCATTATAATTGCTATGAAACATTAACTTATTTAATAAAACTACATTACATTTTCTGTAATTCGTGATATACCTAACCCTAAATTGCTTATAAAAAGTCGTAATTAAAACCTGATGCTGAAATTATTTGAGAAAGAATATCTGACCTTCTCAAGAAGTTCCTGACCGACAGCTTTGCCATTTTCGATGTGTTCCTTGATTTTTCCCAACATTTCCTTTAGTGCTTCACGGATGGTTCGTCCAATTTCAGATTCCACATCGTCGGCCATTCTGCAGTATAAAAAGAATCCTTATTGGCTAAAATTTGATAATATAATAACATATTGTATGGTTTGAAGCTATGTTGCAACAAATTAGAAATAAAATAATATTTTTAATCATAACATCATTGGAGACTTGAATTAATTCGACATGTCTAAAAATATTTTATCATGAATTTTAAAACTGCAAAAATTAATATAAAAGGAACATTATAATTTTATTTGTATTTAATGCACTTATTAAAATTAATAACATTAAAATTAACTAGCATTATTTTTGGAAACAAAAGTTGCAATTCAAATCATTTTAGAAATTTATAAATATTAACTTTTTTGTGTAGAACTGTATATTAAAATTTAATAACAATTTGGGAAAAGTACAGTTTTGGTAAGTAATTTTCCCTGTTCCATTTTTTGAAATCATTTAAAGTATTTATCTCTAAAGATAAATATAAAAAACTTAAATAATTGCATATTTATCTCTAAAGATAAAGATTATCTCTAAAGATATCTCTAAAGATAAATATGCAATTATTTATTTTTTTTTTAATTCTATCATCTATACATTTCTCACATTAAATTTGTAATAAATTTTTAGTTAACAATAATTTCTAGCAATTAAACTTGTTCATGGGTTTTAAATTTTTTTTATTTGTAAGAACATTTATTGTTTTATTTACTGTAATTATTTTGTTGAAGACTGTTATAGTTTAACTTACATCTACCTTGATTTCCACTTTTCACTTTCTGAAATTCATTACTTTTAACAAGCATTTTAAAATACTCTTACACAAATCAGTGTATTTAAAGAAGTTTTGTTATCGAAAGTTGAGGAAAACAGCATTGAAAAGGCTGAAAAAATAACAAATGGTGTGAAAACAGTTTTTTTTTATTTAAACTGTCTGATACCAAATAATAATAATAATAATATTTTGTTTTGTAATTTACCTTTAATTTAAGAGTATTATTTCTTTCTGTTATGCTCTTAATTATTCCATAAATTGGTAAGACTATATATATTATATAGACTATATATATTATATAGTCTTACCAATTTATGGAATTGTTAAAAGAAGGTAACTTACTGGTCAATTTCGGGGTCATTTATTCCAAGAGCTTCAGAAAGGGATCCAGCTTTAACAGCCCCTTGTAAGAAAGCCAACACGGACTCATCAATGGCTGGTTCAGCCTCTGCGAAAGGAAAGTATCATAACTGAGAAAAAATCTGTAGAACTTGACATGAAACCGAAAGGAAAATAAAGTTTATTAGTTATGCAAACAATTCAGTTATATTTGAAGCAGAAAAATGTAGAACTTGATGTTTCCAAAAAAGCAGAAAATGCTAATTTTTCATAAATCCCGACTCTGGTCTCGAGAGGGCAGAACGTAATGTAAACAAGAATTATCTATTCAAAACCAAAAGGATAAACACCGGGAAGTATTTTTTTTTCCGTATATAGGATGAGGATTGTGATTCGTAATTAAATCCGGGTATATTTATGTAAATTGTAAAATGAGATTTCTGATTTCTGTTTAATTAAAAGACCCGATGACTACTTTAAAAAAGCATTTCAAATAATCATAGTAATAAATAACCTTTTAAGATACAATAACACGCCGAAGAAATATTAACTTAGAAGCCAAACAACAAAAAATCAGCGTTATATTTTCAAATTTTCCACAGGACTAGTTTCGATCGTTTTACCGAACCATCGAAACTAGTCCTGTGAAAAATGAGAAAATATAACTCTGATTTTTTGTTGTTTAGCTTCTAAGTTAACCTTTTAACAGTTTAAAAAGCAGTTTTCATATCGTGGATTTCAGTTAGATGTCAAATTCAATTAGTTCTGTTGGATCAATTGATCATTTCAGTTAGACTAGATAAATTCAATTAGATCATGGATTTTAATTAGATGGACTCAAGGTGTAATGAACGTTAGTCTTGATATCCATCTTATCAAATTATATCTTGCCAGTTGGGTTTGGTTTATTTGATAACGGCAAAGCACTGGAGGCTATCTGCCTAAGGAGACGGATGCTTTCGTGGAGGACTTTCTAAGTGAAACTAGCTCGTGTATACATTACACGTAAAGAAAACTAGGAAAACTCCCAAGCAGCCAGCCCGTTCGCAAGATTCAAATCTCGAACCGAACTACCAGTGTTCAGCATTTTTACCACTCTTCCGCTTTTTTTGGTTGAGCTATACATTGCCAGTCTCTGTATTGATAATCTCTGCAGTATTTGATTCTCTTTGCAATGAGTCTTTGCAATGAGTGTTTGAGTCTTTGCAATGAGTGTTTGAGTCTTTGCAATGAGTGTTTGAGTCTTTGCAATGAATGTTTGAATGAGTGTTTGCATTACACATATCCGCGTATAATGTGTATATGTGTATCGCAACACATCTCTCTTGACCTATCTCGGGAAGTTTCTTAAGAAACTCATAGAGGAGATCAGATTACTGCATCGTTATTTGCGTCGTTATTTGTCTTAACTATAGATTTTTTATTTTTGGAGCAATCGAGTTATTACTTGTCTGTCAATACGGGTCATTTATTTTTTTAACATTTAAACTGGTTAAAGATTCCGCTCAGTAACCCGGCGAACGCAATTATCGAAGAACTTAGCTTCTCGAATTTTACGTAGTTCGGTTAAGTAGGTAAATAATATATATATATATTAATAATACCAAATGTAATAATATATATACATAAATTTGTAATAATAAAATTCCATAGTCTAGAATACACTCAGAATTCTAACTGTATGTTCTTTTCATTTTTTAATGGCGACGGTCTCTTATTTGAAAGTACGTGGAATTAAATCCACAGCCCCGTAGTCAACTTGGTTTTCCCGCCTTTTTCTACACGTACAGTTATAGAATGTTCTAGAGATATTTAAAGCGAACTGGAATGGCTGACGCATGGACCTTACAAGAAATAGACTAACCCAAACAGGTTTTTCTCCCTCGTCTGAGGCGTTGCCGGCTGTCACCTTGATCACATCCGGAGGAGTAGCGACGACTTGCAGATATTTAACATTGGTTGCCCATTGCAGCGTGTTTAATTGTCAGGAAAAAGCTCGTTGTAGCGCCTCATTTCACAAATTAGAATTTCTATGTAGTTTTATTTTTGAAATTGAGATTGATTTTTAAAAATTTAGCATATTTATCAAGCATAATTAACGTTCCAAATAATTATAAAGCTATTGCATGCTTTCAGGACTGGATATATTTTTAGCTTTTCGTATGCTGTAAAGAAATTTGTAACTACTTCTTTTAGAAAATAATATTTTAAATCTAAACTAATAGAAAATTTCAAAAAAGCAATTTTCTCTTGCAATTTCTATGCTTTTTATTGGTGTAAATAAGTAAAAAATACTAAAATATTTAAAAACGAATTTTTGAAAGTTTTGTTTAAAATTCTAAATTGGGCTGCTTTTTTAAATTTAAACATTTAATTCTAATATTAAAATTGTATTTAACCGTAATAATTAATTTTGCTTGTATTTTATAAGTGATTATTTTTTAAATTTATTTTTCAGTTCTGCATAAGATTTTTTTAATTTACTGTTAATTAATTTATTAGCCCAAAGCGGCGGTAGCCTAGAAAGGCTGTTAAGTTTGAAGCGGCATTTTGCTCTGTTTTACTTATAAATGTTCGTGTCTCCTTGCAAATTGTTGTTACCAAATATTACTCGCCCTGTATTATATGTAAAGAGATTAAATAATGAAGAATCTGCATGAATACATGTATGTTTCTCGCACTGTGACGAAAACGACAGTATCTAGAGCCATCAAATTTTGAATAATGTAATCCTCCACCCGAACATGGTGTATAATCCCATATACAAAATTTAAACGTTCTGACACTACTCGTTTTTGAGTCATGCGAGATACATACATACGTATGTACGTACGTAGTGATGTCGCAAAAAATATCTTCTGAATCCCTTGTAAATCCATTTTATAATCCGTTTTGAGTAATAGAGTCCTTTATTTTGTCCATACGTATAGATGTCACTCAGAAACATCATTTATATGGTTTTCAGAGCAGTCAAAATGGATATTTTAGTACCCGAAATTTTTTGCAGTTGCAATACTTCCTTTGTTTTGTAATGGGAAGTAAAAATGAGAGAAATGCTTTTGAAACTATAATCCGAACGCATATGTTTGTGTTCGGTTTCTGAAATGTTACAATAACTAGTGAAACTGTGCATTAAAATAATGCGCCTATAATACACAAATACAATAAAAAGGGTTTTAACATTATTCTGATTTCTGAACCTTTGGAAAACTTCAATTGTTATCGACAAATTCTTGCTAAGTGTATTGTTTTTCCGACAGCCATATGTTAGAACCTATATATCGGTTTTCAAGAAAAATTTTCACATTAATCCAAAGCTTTCTCCGTTCCAGCGAGAAAGAGAATAGCTTAAATTCGCAGAAATAAATTCGTTTGTTACAATACTGGTCGAACGAAAGGGCTGTTAGAATTGTAATAAGAAAAGAAATAAATTTCAAACACCAACAAATAAAGTTTTATTGAAAAACTGAAGCTTCTAAGATTATGAAACAGAGGGATCAAATATTAAGCCTTACTACTATACTAATCAATATAAATTAAATTCGATTTCCGGCGAAAATTGCATTTTACTAGTTTGAACTGGTTAGGGAAAGAATCGATATTTTATGATGGTGAAGATTTCTTAGTGGAGATCTACTAGCGATCCAAATATTTTATTGTATTAAACGAACTTCTCCAAAAATTATCACGTGTTGGTTTCAGACTGTTAGTTTTCTATATTCTCTTATATAATGTCTCGAAGGATTCCATTGTTTCAATCCGTTTCCTTTGTTTCCATTTTTATCAATCGTGCCTAAATATCTATCTCATAATATTAAGAGCTATAATATTATATTCACATTTTTAAAATTATTTATCGGAGTTTCTAAACCAAGAGAATTTGTGTAAATTAAAGAAATTTAAATTTTAATTTTTTTTTTTTTTTTTTTTTTTGTCGGGAGGGGGGAGAAAGGAAACATGAAACATCAGCGACGCCTTTACCGGAATTTGAATTCTGAAGCTCTCGACTCCTATAGGCTCCCAATTACACCGCTAAAGCCTTACATAAGAAAGGAGAAAATTTCTTACATTCTCCTCCACTTAAAAGCGACTGAAAAGGAGTGATCTAATTACCAAATCCTGTGTTGAAGTATTACGATACAGAGCACTTTATTTGGACGCTATTTTTGATTGTATTAGAATTATACTAAACCCAAAAAACACAAAAATTCAGCGATTCTTCCTCTGAGATTCGAATTCTGGAATTCTCGAATGCTAGCCAAATGTACTTCTAATTACGCCACGCAGACCCGAAGGAAACTATATACCTTTTTTCGAAGTATTATGAAATATCCCATTATATTAATGCATTTTTGTCAGCTTATGAGTAGCTGAAGTTAATAGATTACTCTGTATTAATATGTTATTCTGTAATTACGACACAATAACAAGCCAAACAAACATTAATTTGAAGTCAAACACCAAAAATCAGCGTTATATTTTCAAATTTTCACAGGACTAGTTTCGATGGTTTTACCGAACCATCATCCTCAGCTGCAAAAGCGCAAATTTCGTTAGCGGTTAAACCATCGAAATGAGTCCTGTGAAAATTTGAAAATGTAAACGCTGATTTTTGTTGCTTGACTTCTAAATTAAGGTTATTCTGTATTAATAGGTAACTGTTTATTAATATGTTACTTATCAGAACTGTAATTAAGTGTGTGTGTGTGTGTGTGTAATTATGGCAAAGCCTCGAGGGCTATCTGCCTAAGGGAAGGGATGCCTTCGTGGAGGACTTTCTAAGGGAAACTGGCTCGTATACACGTTACACATGGGGAAAAACCACGAAAACGCCCATGCAGCCAGCCCGTTCGCGGGATTCGAACCTCGGACCGAACTACCAGTGTTCAGCGACTTTACCGCTCGGTCGCTGGTGGGCCCTGCTGTAATTAAGAATGAAAATGTTCATGTTTATTGATTATGTATTTGTTAATAACGTAAGAGGAAAATGTTTGGTGAAAGTGCAGAATCGCCCACTGCTTGGAGCGTTTTTAAGAATTGCACATACTCGGTATCCATGTATACGTCGACCTATTTTCACTTAAAAAACATCCCAGAATTGCACAAAAAATGGCATTGCGCTCACTCTTGACTTTATCCATGTACACATCGATCTATGTTCACTTAAAAAGTCAAAGAAAATTGACAAAAATCCAATTCTTCTTACTCTTGTAAAAAGCGCCAAACAAACGCCAAAGAAATAAGTACGCGATTCTGCACTTACCCAAATGTTTTACAGCAGTCTTCTGAATTTGATTAATATAATAATCAAAGATAACTAGAGTGGTTTTACTCAAACAATGTAAAGATAATTACAGTGTTATTAGCAACGCTGTCTAATGCTGAGCAAGATCAAATAATTGGTTTTTAAATTTTTGCCAATTGCTGAAGCTAATTTCTCTTTTTCCATTTTCTGTAAGCTCGCCAATTTTGAAACGAATATTTAATTGGGTATTTAAAATATGTCTTTTCCTATTTTTCTAATTATCAGAAAGCAATGAAAATATGCGGAAATTTCTCTCAAAATATAATTGGCATTTTCATGGGATCTTATCTAAATATCCTCTTTTCTCCCCCCTCCCTGTCGGAAATCAGAATCTTTGATTCATGAATATTTCATCATCTCTTTCTTCTCATAATGCAACTATAAAATGCCCAGAAGAGCAAGGAATTAGCATTTACAACCCAGAGGCGAAGTAAAAAATGAGTCGGAAATGTAAATTTAATGCACGAAGAACTTACGTTGAAGAAAGTCGGCGGCGGCGAAGCCAAGAAAGCAAACGAGAAGTAGGAGCTTCATGTTGCTGAAAAGAAAAAAAAAAAAAAAAAAATGTATGAAGAAAATATTTTTCATCATAAAGTAACATGACATTTCTTTCATAATTTAACAAGAAATACTTCAGTTTGAGGTAAACTTTGAAAACTTCTTTCATAAATTTCGTAAAGAATTTACTAACTAAGATTTTTTGCTTGGCTGAAAATTAGAGGTCATTATGCATAGCATTAAAAAGAACTTTAAACTAGATTCAAAAGAAAAAAGCTTTATTAATATACTCCTTTCATTTTTATAAGCGATGCAAATATCTCTGAAAACGCTATCGATAGCCGTTTCTACTTGCAAAAAAAAATAAATAAATAAATAAATAAACTAACTAAAAATAAAATGTTAAAGCTAATGCGTTTCGGAAGTGAAACAAGACAAGATGGATCACAAAATTCTATGGTATTTTGTTAATACTTATAAGGTATTTCTCCCATTTCCCTAGCGTGCCTTCGTGGTGTAACGGTAGCATGCTGGGCCGGTATTCCAGAAGTCCGTGGTTCGATTCCCGGCGAAGGCGTTGTTGGGTTTTCATCTCTCCGGCTTTTCCAAAAAATCCTAGTTGCCCTTTAAAAAGGGGAGTACTATATAAGGTATTTCTCCCACTTCCCTAGCGTGCCCTTCGTAGATGTAGTGGTTTAGCAGGCTGGGCGCGTATTCCAGAGGTCCGTGGTTCGATTCTTGGTGAAGGCGGTTTTCCTCCTTTTTCATCTTTTCTGCTTCCAATTAATGCCTAATGTCTGTACACTGTCGCCCGAATTAAAAGGGTTGTGAAGATGATGCTTCTCCACAAACCCAGGATTTGGCGATTGGGTTCTCTAAACACTCCTAGTCGCCCTTTAAAAAGGGGAGTATATAAGGTATTTCTCCCACTTACCTAGCGTACCTTCGTGGTGTAACGGTAGCACACTGGGCCGGTATTCCAGAGGTCCGTGGTTCTGTTCCCTGCGAAGGCGGTTGCATATTTTTCAGCTCACTGTTCGAGATCAGGACCTTGATGTTTACCAAGAGTATGCATAGGAACACATAGTCTTGACATACTGACTATCATATCATTCTTGGAAACGGTAACATAGTCAATGGAAATGAAAAGTTCAAACTATACTCAAATTATTTACAGTCTTTGTAAATTTCATTACATGCTTTTGTAAGGTGGGAAAGACTTATGCCGTAATTTACACTAACTATCGCTCATTTCGTGTCAGTTTCATCGGCTTGAGTAATAGGCCTTGTTTCAATTACATTAGTAATAGTTTGTTTCAGGTTTGATTTGGTTTAGTTCATTTTATTATAGCAAAGCATAGGAAGGCTATCTGCTTAAGGGAAAAAATGCCTTTGTAGAGGACTTTCTAAAAGAAACTGGCTGGTGTACACGTTACCCTAGGGAAACAAAATCCACCCATGCAACCAGATCATTGGCTGGGATTCGAGCCCTGCACTGAGCTACTAGTGTACCAGTGACTAGTGTACCAGGGCCTGATGGGCGTTTGTTTCAGCTATGGGTGTTACAAAAACATAGTTTTACCACAATCCCAGAAAAAGAATTAACAAAGCATTAATTCCCGTGATAGAGATAATCAATAATCAAAAGCTATGGCCTTTTGGTTCGTTAAATTACTAGAGGAGATAAGCAAGAGCGACCCTTTGCAGACTGGCCGATAGTCTGGCTAGTTGCTCCGATATAATAGCTGACTTATATGCTCTACTATACTGTAATCTAACTTGACTTGACTCGCTTATATTGTAAACCAAGTGAGTTTAATTCTATTAAATCTGAGGCTCAATGCTGCTTGACGAATGGAAGCTCTTACTTGTAGATAATCTGGTGCTGAGTATTCACAGATGGTGCAACTCAACTATTATAGTTAGGGAAAGTTATATCCCTTACCAAGGCTTTTTTGTTGGCCATAAGTCCTTAATAAGGCTCCTTCTTGACCAGATAGTTTTATGTATCAACGCCATTCTGTCAGTAAAGCTTCTTTCTATTCATTCAGTAACATACACTTTATCGAGCCATTATGTTTCTTGATGCTGGAGGCGAGAAAATGTGCAATGGCCTCGTCTGGATTCGAACACCAGACCTCCCGAATAAGCGTCGAGTGTGCTTCCAGTTACACCACGAAGGCATGCGGAAAGGAAGGAGAAACACCTTATAAAGAATTATTCATTTTTTCGCTATTATACTTCCCTCATCTTTTAAATACCACATCGTGTTCTGAATTTTATGTCTCTCACATGATTTTCTGCGGATTTACAAAATTGCTTTAATTTTGCAAACTAGTATACATTCATTTATACGTATTACAACTTTATTAAAAGGAAGCATGTAAGTAAATATCGCTACCAAATGCATGTCTCTGAAAAGACATACCAAAAATTTATAAATCATATTTATTTCACTTCGCAATGTCCGTTTGAAAACATTTCAAAACAAGCAATTCTTTTTAACTTAAAGAAGCTACCGATGCATTAAAAATAATGGTACTATTCTGTTTTGAGGGTCGTAAAAAAATTGCAGCGAAAATGTATGCGCAAAAGCGCCAAATCTAGCAAAAGCGACCATTGAACAGCGCGCCAAATCCAGCGTACGCGCTGATTTCAGATTGCGTTAGTTTATATAGTTTTATATAAGACGCCATTGAAATACTAGTTTAATTTTTAAACAATTTTTTGATTTTAAATCCTTTTTTGATATTCTATGGATTTAGCAATTGCCTATGACGAAAAGTCGGCAATAGAATTTTGGGTAAAGCGCAGAATCATCCACTGTTTGACGCGTTTTTAAGAACTGCACATACTCGGTATCCATACGCACATCGACCTATTTTCTCTTAAAAAAAAAAATCCTAGAATTGCACAAAAATGGCACTGCGCACATCCTTGACATTATCTATGTACACATCGACCTATTTTCACTTAAAAAGTAAAAGAAAATTGACAAAAATCCAATTGTTTTTATTCTTGTAAAAAGCGGCGAACAATTAAGTGAGCGATTCTGCATTTACAGAGAATATTTCAAGAAAAGGCATCATTCATTATAGAAATAAGTTGAACAACCAACGAGATGAAATATGCTTTAGCGATAGTCGGTAGCGAAATAGCGATGAGGCATCCATTCAGTTATGTTAGCAGTTTTTATAAATTATAATAATGGTCTGACATAGTTATTTATTTTATGCTTCCATTCATCAGTTTAGACTTTTTCATATAAATTATAAATAAAAAAGTATTATATGAAATTAACCTTTCATCTAAATTAAAACATCAATCTTAGATAGTTATTTATTATTATACTTCCTCTCTTGCCGCAATTATTAGGGTTGCCGCAATTATTTTTGGCAGCAGTCGCATCAACAACAGCTTGGCGATTTTTTACGGCCCTCAAAACCGAATAGTACCAAAATATTTTGTCTTACTTTATATTTAAAAACAAATAATAGAAATTAGAAACTTTGCTATAAATCTTAAAGAAAACTTATCAGTGTAGGAAATAGTTCTTAATAAAATAAAGAAGTAATTACAGAAATGAAAACGAATATCCGAAAATATTTGATTAAAGAAAGTAAATATTTATACATACTAATACACTTCAATGTGCATACTTCGTTCTATAAATAAACATTAAAACAAAATTAAAAAGAAAGAAAAGTTTTTGAGTGTTTATATTACCTCTTCAACATTGCGTGTAAGTCTTCAAATGTTAAGTTAATGAGTTTTGAAGATAGCGTAATTTCAGATGCATGTAAAATTATGGCCTTTTTAAAAGCTATAAATTGCTTTCTTTTCTAATGAATAGAGAAATAAAAATCTGCTTAAAATGTGTATTTAAATTTTATAAAAATTATTTTATCAATTTGCAAATAAGGTACTTTTTCATACATTGTGGAGTATAAAAAATATTCTTCTCGTTTTTTCAAGCAAATTAGATAATGCATTAAAGATAATTTCTTATTTATGTTAGCAATTAATGAATATAATTATGTCATTTTGCCCATGATGGAGAGTGCAAACAATTCTTTAAGTGAAAAATGGCTATATATTAAAAGGATGATTTACTTTAGATCAATAAAAGCTGTAGCTCTTAACGCATTTCTTTTTATATCCTTAATGCAATGATCATATTCTTTTACACTTTTCTTTTCAGCAAAAAAAAAAAAAAGGTTCTGGTTCTTTCTAACTTTTTCTCTTGCTTAAGTCATGTTTCTCGTATGTAAAATTAATCTCTCTTAGTTCATACTTCAAACAGAATTTCATGGAATTTTTTTCATTTCAGGAAATGCTGTGACTTAAAAAGATGCCTCTTGAATAGCGTTTTTTCAGTCTTAAGCAATATATGCCCATTCAGACTTATTAAGAAAAAAAAGTAAGTCGTCTTAACTGGAAATCTGCTTAAAAATTCTTTAGCAATTCTTCAGTAGTTTTATTAAGCACTTCGGAACATGTTGCATTGATTTAGTTATAACGAAAATATCAGGAGAAAGATTAATGAATAGTTTTTTGCAGTAAATTCACAGGTTTATCACAATCGCTAAATACTAATGATATGAGGTACTCAAAAATAATTATTTGCCAATATTGCCTTTTTTACTTTACTAATTTCCGTCACAAAAATACTGTGAATCTTAATTCTCTAAAATTTAGAAAATCTAGTTATGAACTTTTCGCAACGGAAGTCCGATGACGTAGTTAGAGCTATAATGTCTGAAAACACTTCAACATTGATGTCCAGAATTAAAGTCATAAATAAATATTTTGCAATAATGCAAAATAGTTACTGCTAATGTTTTAAAAACAGATGTCATGTACAGCTACGAAATGACTTATTGTTTAATTATGTCAAACCACTTGAGGACTATCTGCCTAAGAAGAAGATGCCTTCGTGGAGAACATGCAAGAAGAATTGGCTTGTATTTACATTGGGGAAAGCTCCGATGCAACTAACTCGTTCGCCTAAAATGTAACCTTTGTTGAACTGGCAGTATTCATCGACTTTACCACTAGCCCGCTTCTTTGGAAATGGTAAATGTAATGTAAGAACTGGTTGCTGTTAAAAGATTAAAAAGATAAGAT